GATCTTAGCAGTCGATTAGCGCGATGGGCCTTGAAATTGCAAGGGTATTCATTTACCATACAACATAGGAAGGGTAGTCAGAATGTGGTCCCAGATGCATTATCACGTACCTTCACAGAGGATTTGTCTGCAATAGATTTGGGTTGTGTTATAGATTTGCAGCATCCGCATTTCAATTCACCAAGTTATCAGGATCTGAGGTCGAAGCTAGAGCAGCAGAAAGCTCGAACACCTGACATAAAAATAGTGGATAAGTTTATTTATCGACGAAGCGAACATGCTTCAGGAGAGCGAATAGCAGATGACCTGGTATGGAAATTGTGGCTCCCAAAAGAGTTGATCCCTGAAGTTTTGAAAAGAGTTCACGATGACCCATTGTCATCCCACTGTGGAATAAATAAATCGCTTGAAAAACTTAGGCGTCATTATTATTGGCCAAATATGGTGACAGATGTAAAGGAATACGTCAATCGATGCGAAGTGTGCAAAAGCACTAAACATCCTAATTATGTACTCCGTCCACCTTTGGGCAAAACGGGTGAAAGTCAGCGTTTTTTCCAAAAGTTGTATGTAGATTTTTTGGGTCCGTATCCCAGGTCTAAATCCGGTAATGTAGGAATATTTATAGTACTGGATCACTTTTCTAAATTCCCTTTTTTAAAGCCTGTTAAGAAGATCACAGCCGATGCCATTTTGAAGTTCTTAGAAGAAGATTTATTCCATTGTTTCGGGATACCAGAAGTTATAGTCTCAGACAACGGAGTTCAATTTAGGTCCCGTATCTTTAAAGACTTGCTACAGCGATATGGTGTACATCACGCATATACAGCGTTATACGCTCCGCAAGCGAATGCTTCAGAAAGGGTAAATCGCTCAGTTTTGACGGCAATTAAATCTTATATTCATCCTGATCAGTCAAACTGGGACGAAAAGTTAAGTAGCATTAGTTGCGCACTGCGGGCAAGTTGGCATTCCGCCGTGAACAATACTCCCTATAGATTGGTTTTTGGGCAGCACATGATTACCGAAGGGAATTCATATAAACTGTTGCGCGAGCTCGAGTTGTTAGAAGATCGAACGATCCGATTTGATCGTGATGATTCATTGGAGCTGATGCGAAACAAGGCTGCAGTTGCAATGCGGAAGCAGCATAGCCGAAATGAAAATACTTATAACTTGCGATGTCGCCCAGTTTCTTTTGTTATAGGTCAGGAAGTGTACCGTAGGAATTTCCAGCAAAGCAATTTTAGTAAAGGATTTAATGCCAAACTAGCGCCTACATTTGTAAAAGCTAGAATAAAACGAAAATTTGGAAATAGTTATTACGAGCTAGAGGACCTGCAAGGAAATGTGGTTGGGAAATATCATGCTAAAGATATTAAGCAATAGTTTGGTCCAAGCAAGAGATGTTTCGACAAGCGTGGATCACCCGTTGTGGAATTGCATTCCCCAAGTGTGATTTTGGCCGGGGGGAATTGTAGGAGCGCTTGTCGCAAATATTAATAACTTTGCTTTTATTTATTTTTATTTTGTAGTAAAATTTTATTATTTATTTTTTTTTTTTGCCTTTATATTTAGTAGTAGATTCGGTTTTACATTTAGTAGTAGAATCTATGGTTACTCTTAGTAGTAGATTAGTTGCATACGAGCGCCATCTATGGTCGTGGCAAGGTTCATTTCTCTTTTCCTTTCTTTTGGCTGAATTGTCAATGTCAGTGTTCTCCTTGCACCTTTCTTTTGACAACTGCCACCTCAACCACTTCCGTGGAAGGGCTAATGAGCCTAGGTTGGAACTAGCCACTTTCTTTTTCTTTGAACCGCCGAACGGAACAGACGTACTTTTTCGCATAGCAAAAATAAATGTGCTTGCATTAAAATTTTAATTTGGGCAAGAAATAATTGCTCCCGTGCAACAAATTTAAAAGAAAAAAAACAACTTTTGTTAAAGAAAAAAAAAAGAAACTACAAATGTTGGTATAGAAGTGAACGCCTGTGTTAAGTGCAAGTTAGAGCTACTGCCTATTTTCTGTTTTTTGGCGTGGATGCCATTTGCGTTGGCAAAAGGAATTCTTCTTAAGTTGATGCCGAACAGGATTCGGCACTAAGTCTGGAGCCTATATACCTATGCATATACCTATGTACGATGCATTCTACTAAGTCTGGAGCCTATATACCTATGCATATACCTATGTACGATGCATTCTACTACGTCTGGAGCTATTTATTAAGCCGCTCTTAAATTCTTGTCCGAAAAAACGAACTATTTTCGTACTCACTGGCGGACCCGAGAACTCTAAGCCCAGCAGTTGATGCGCGGATGTATACGCCGGCGGACCCTGTGCTTACGGCCAGTCGCAAAATAATTACTTTCGGGGTTAATTTAAACGCCTTCTAAAGTGGACAGTGATAATGGGAAAACCGCCGAATTAGGTTTTAGCGTTACATGTTTTCCTGATTTCTTATATTTTCCCGGTTTCATATATTTTTTGTTTACGCCGCAGAAAAAATATTAATTTGCCAATAGGTTAAATTACCTTTAAAATGTGCCTGCAGTGCAAAGAAAAATAAGAGAGTGAGGTTAGGCAGTGCCGCAGTCTGTAAGCGCCGAGTGAAGCCAAGATTGGTAGTCGTATTTATTTTTGGTCGTTCCTGCCTACAACTAACGAGCGTGGATATTGTAAATATTATTTTTTTTTTGTTTTTTTTTATTATTTTTTTTGTTCTCTGTTTAAGATAAAATGAGTGTTTTAATGAGTGCATTTAAATAATGCAAGAAACCGATGAAACGGAACAACAACAATTTTTTTTCAGCAAAGCCTGCCGAACACCGCCGAAAGATCTTTCGCCGTTGGATTCGGAGTCGAAACCGTAAGTGCGCTCTTCTTTTTATTATCTACTTGATTACCTTGTCCGCTCTTAAAGCGCTCATTTTAAGCGGACAGAAACCGCAATGTTTAATAGCTCTCTCTTGAAAGTCTAATGCAAATTCGAAGCAATGCCGACATCGTAGTCAGCTGTGTGCTTTAAGTCGGTCATTGACCTTAGTGCATTAATACATTTTACTGCACAAAACATATGCAATTTTCGTTTGTGCATATTATTTTTTTTTTTTTTTTTCCCCCCCCCACCTTATTCTCCATATATATATATATATTTTTTTTGCTTCTTATTTTGCGGATTGTATATTCGAAATTGAAATCCATTTTTTTTTTTTTGGACAGCATAATTTAAATACAGGCCAATACCGAACTTCATTATTTTTTCTTTGCTATGCACATTTATACACTGTTCAAATTCTTTCGTGGAATTTGTATTTAATTATTGTATTTCCTGTTATTATTATTACTACTATTATTAATTATTATTGCTATTACTTTTATTATTGTGTTTCCCTTTTTTAATATGGATTATAGTGATTATCGATGAAGCGAGAAACTCCCTGAATTTTTTTTCTGTTTATTTACTTATTAGAACTAGTTGTTTTTTCTTGTTAATATGAATAAATTTATAATGAAATCGACGTAAGTGTCTAAATTCGGGAATCATGTGTGCCGTCCGTGAGCCAATTTAGGAATCCGCAGTGTGCTTAGGGATCGTCAATAATTGTAGATGCAGCATGACGATCATGGAAGGGTGGGGTTACTCGAGCCGCTCATTACCACCATTGCGAGCTCATTTCGCCACTATGGCTCCTAGCGTAGCAAGCTTCTTCTCTAATACTTTCTGCCCCCCTTTTCCTTCTTTTCCTCCCTATAACTGATCGCTGATTGATAGAACTTTATTTCCCTCCTCCCATAAAACAGCACGCGAATTTTAAATAAATAAAATAATACACCTTTGTGAGCACGCAGTGTTGCGGTACCCTCAACATAACCCACTCCCCCCCCAGCCGACTAAACTGAGGCCGGTATGCTAGCGCGTGCTCCGTTCACACATCTGCCCTACCATCAGCTCACCCAAAAAGTGTACGTTGTATGCTACAACAACGGACTACAAGGGCGTACGCAGGGAGGCAGTGGGCCGTTGCCCCCCTAGAAAAAATTTGGCAATATGAAGTCGACCAAACACTCATTATTATAGCGCACTATTTCGCCTTAAAATGGAACTGAGTTGGATTTCTTGAAGTATACATAAATTATTATTTAAAAGCATCGTGCATTATTTAATCAAAATTTTAATTTTTTGGTGCCCCTTTGGAAAAAACTGCGTACACCCTTGACGGACTACACTTATGTATGTACACGGTTCTCTACGTACGGTTAAAACAGTAAACGGAAAACATATGGGTAGGTCAAGAACACAGAAAATAAATACAATTTGAAACATTATACTGGGCCGGGTTAAGACAAGTCGTATCATGCGCAATCATCTTTGCAAGAGCTGAGCTATATATTGCGATATTGTTATAAGATTTTATGTAGATGGCGGAACAAACAAAGAATATTCCCCAGCATATCTAAAGCATTTTTTAATTTTATTGAATTATGCTGGAATGAATTTTTGTTGTCCTTTATAGTAAATAATAAAATCTGTTTTGAAACCAAATATTTAAAAGCATTTTCTAGATCGTTCCGTTGACAGTTATTCTAAATTCTCACCTAACTCGAGATTCTTTAATGCGAACCTGTCAATGGCTTAAATTTAATAAGCCATTGTAGTACGGTAATGGATGGATACAAAAGATGCATTAAAAGTATTGTAATCAGATTAATATATGTCTTTCAAACATTTCCATAAGGAAAGGTTTAAGGGATACATAAATACTAGTTTATTATCATATTTATTAACATTTCTTATTTATTTGTGGTTGGGCACAAAATTGTAGTCAAATTTATATTCAGAAATTAGTATATATAAATGAAAGAATATTCTAATTATTATTTATTAGAAATACTTAAGATTTCTTTTCCATTTTATAAAATTTAATTTAAAAATTCTAATAAAATTTTATATAACATACATACATAAATGACGTTGAGTGTCTTTTTAAAAATTAGACTGTGTTCAACTTTAGAATATAGTAATAATTGCTTGGCATAATTCAAAACTGTTATCATAAGTAGGTTGTTTTATAAGTATGCATGTATATTGTTAACATTTTCTTAAATATATATTTAATTTTTCTTAAATATTTGACGCTTAAATACAAAGATGAATGCTTTTGTTTCGTGAGTTGCATAAAAGTTTATAATTACACAGCACCTGGCATCGCACATGCATATATAAATTGTATTATATTCTTTTTTGAATTTTTTCATTTTGGGGCTGTAAAAAGGCTTTCAATTGGTCGTGGTGTGGCATTACACTGAGCATTTCATCATACTTGTAAGTTTACATTGCATTGAGTAATTGGTGCTTGTACTATTATTTCGTGATTCTACATCGTAAGGGAGTGCATGTTCGTAATGCATACATATTTTGCATATTCAAGGTCAAGATCGGTTACAAATTATAATATTCGCGCACAACACATCAGCAGAAAAATGAACAGTGCCATAGTCTCAAGTAACATATAAATTGATAAAAACGATGTGCAATCCATGACAATCAAGCTAAATAAATAAGTTGTCCAAATACAACTTTAAAACGTATAATTTAATAGCAAATATGATTCCATATAGTGCTCACAAATTATTTAAATGATTTCGCTTTATGTATGAAAAAACTTGAGTTACGTTCGTGTTTTAAATTAGAATTGCCCGACTACAATCGCTTTTTAAAAACATTTCTAGCGATACTTTTCGTCTATAGTTAAGATGCGTCATATATTCAATCAGTATTATAAATCTTGACGATGATAATAACAAAGAATTCTTTTAAGTACACGCTAAAGAGTCACAAACAATCTGTAGCGTTTTTAAGACAACAAAGAATTCAATTAATTGCAATTAATTTAAACTAATATTAAAAATGTTATTGTATTTCCCCTTACAAATAGGAAAATATGTTCTTAACAATTAAAAACAAACTAAATCACTGACGACAGCATCAGATTCAGCGCCAGCGCACAGCTTAGGGTTTGTCAAAGCCCGCAAAATCAGATGCTTCGGACTCATCATCATCCTTCTCCACACCAATGCAATGGATTCCTGTCCGCAGCATTGGCGTTCCCTTGCCACGGCCTAGGACACGAGCTGCAATGATCAGCTGGAACACCTCCTTGGAATTCTTTGAGTTGACAATGTGCAACGTCTCGCGCAACAGCTTCTCCTTATAGGCAAAGAACTCGATATTCATCTCGTAAAAGTCATGCTCGTCATGTTTGCTGCCCGAGAATTCGGTAATGCGGCAATGCAAATTCGGTGTGGCATCGACATGTGGCAAGAACTTGTTGCTAGACGTACCAACATCTCCAAAAAGCGAGGCAGGCAGTTTCAAATCAATTAGATATCGGTGGTTAATTTGTAAAAAGCCCAAGCTAACTATTATGGTGTCGCCCGAGCGTTGATATGTCACACAATTGTCTGACTCGAAGTCATCCTTCAGTGTAGTGGTGTCGAAGTGCACATGGTGATCTAGAGGAAAGAGCAAAAACGAGCCATTAGTGTCATTTTAAGTAACTGTATATACTACGGGTATACAAAATTGACGCTACACATAATTTATAACAAATTTGTTGTGCGAATTAAAAACAATTTCTAGTGTTCATGTTAATGCTATATGTATCTATCTCAATCTGAATCGATGGTGAGGTGAAATTCTTATCCGCATGCAATACTATTGTGGGACGGTTGGCCGGCGGCTTTCCTTCGCGTAACATTATTGCGCAAGTATGTGTTGTAACGATTGAAGACCAAATCTGTATGCATAGAAAAATGTAAATTGTTCAACCAATTAGCGGAACATTAACATTAATTTTCTTCTCTGCGACGAAATTGCTTATTATTATTTGTCTCAATTTTACACTTGTAAACGATTGTATATTGTGTGCATACTACTAATATGTGGAAAGCCATGTTATAGGAATCATTAAAACGCACTTTATAACGATCTAAATATTTTTTGAAAAAACTGTAATAACTACGAGCAATCCGATTGTAAGGCCTACTCTACATTTGGATGTCAAATGTAATGTGACAACATACTATAAATTCGATGATAATTGGCCTTTTACATTCACAAAGTATTTGCATATTAGAAAGTTTATTAAATAATATAGCTCTGTTAGGTATACTTGTAATATGTGCTCTAAGTCTGCTGACTGCTTTTATTGGTGATTGGTGAACAGCACTTTAACTTGCCAGATAACCAGCCAGTCAGTTATTTACATTGCACTATTGTATACCTGTGTATGCATATATTCATAGTACACATACAAGTATATGTATGTATATACATATATGCATGTGTATATAATTATTCTTGTAAGTATACAAGTAGTATATCTGCATAAAAATCAACGTAATCGCAATCGACACCAGTCACGAGGCCATGCCGTGTAATTGTTGAACTTCGAATATTTGCGCCTGGCAAATGAACAAATTAAGTTAACATTTATATATTTGTTTAACATGAGCTTGGAACGAACGCAATTAAAAAATTGTACTAGGCGGAAATAAGACAAAATCGTGTGCAGGCTGGTTGGTCTACGATCTTTAAATATACTATATTATCCCACAGGGCAGGCAAATAAGCAAATAGCCAAACAAGCGAACAAACAAGAAGCGCGACCAGCAATCCAGTAAACTTCCCGACGACGACGATGAGCCACGGAAATTGCGTGTAAGCGCGTAATTAAATGCTTGTTATGACCCCCTTTCTCTCCCTCCTTAGGCCAACACTGCCTCTGATAGAGAAGAGACAGGGGCTGGCGCCACAATTGATGGCCAAGGCACTCTTTTCCCCCAGAGCGTTTATTTTGCTTTGAGGCCGTTGGGTCTGCGGCTTAAATTGCATTAAAATTGGGTCAATTGGGACTAACGTGCACTTGGCTCGTGTTTTCTGATTTTAAACGACATACATACGTACATATGTACATACATCTTGAGTGATTGCACAAAATTTGAATGAGCAAGGGCACACCATATAGCTAATGAGACTTGGCTCGCGACTAATTAAAGTTTACATTCAATTAAGTAAGGCTACAGAGCAAGGTTGATTTCTAACCATACTTCATATTTCAAAATGTATGCCATATTGCTTAAATTATTAATTTAGAATTGTTAAGGTCGATATTCCCATTTGTTCGATCCAATAAATAAAACATTTTCGTGTTGTACACCACATACGACAAAAATCTTCAAATAGATCCATGGCTCTGTTCCGTTAAAATTACGCAGAACGCCATGTATATTTATTTATGCAGTTTAAGTTTTAGATCATAGATACATAAGTATGTATGTATGTACTCGTATGTTTGATTCAACGTATCGATGCTGCAATTCCGATAGATTGATTTATACAGCTTTTAACTGTCGAATACAGCGCACTGCTTTTGCTGCTCTATCGAAACTAATCGATTGTATCGTTAACGTTATTTGTGTATTTTTGGTATTCCTGCAGTTAATTTAACTTCGTTACAGATTAATTAATTTGCAACTGAGCTGAGATGATATTTTAAAATATGGACATTGAACACCGAATGAAATGCATAGACTCACATAGATTAAATTTCTGTAAAATCGAGCACAATATTGTTTACTTTTTAAAAAAAAATTAACTTCTATAATTATTCTACACATATGTATGTACAGAGTATTTCAAGGTCCGGACACCCGACTTTAGCTGCTCCACTTCTTTTCAGATATTCAACAGCAAAGCAGTTTATATTTAAGTTTTGTAAAGAATATGCCCGGTACAAGTGAACTATTTCTGATATGGGCATAAACAGTGCTAACACAGTTTCAATTTATTGTTAGTATATAAATAACATGTAAATGTCTAACGCCGAAATTGGAGAATTAGCTGCGATAGTTCCCTTTGGGAACAGTGTATTAAAAAGCGTAATTTCTTCTTTTAGCTTCAGAGGATGTTCTGTAAACGAATACGCATATGATTTTGTTTTAAAACGATGTTGCCAACTGGCGGTTTACAGATCAAATGAATTCATTTTTTTTAGGCTAGAATACACTTCTATGAATTCCTAAATATAGATACTACATAAATAGATACTACATAAATAGTAATATTTGTTATAGCTATTTTGGGCATATTATTTGAATAATGCTTAGCGTTTTCGTATCACATGCCAACACCATTTATTGAAATTATAAACACTACATATGTACGTAAGAATCTTATAACAATAAAAGGCTGAAAATATTTAGAACTAATATTACGATGCTAATTGCCAAGCCTACGAATACATTATTATCAACCGCGTCTTAGAGGGCAATAAAAAGCAGTGATTTGCACCACATAAAGATATTTAATTTTCTTTCACCTCTTGAATTAATAAGTTCATAAAACGAAAAGGAAATAGCACGGAGCAGCAATAGCCTTACATGCCATAAACATATAGTCCATACTACTAATATACCCAACTGCTCTCTATAAATCAGCAAATGTAGTTAAACTACAGATCGATTGTCTCAGTCAGAATCTACATAAGCCCATGGTCCGCCTCCTACTATTATATGCCAAGCACCGTCTAAAAATAAATACCATTGGCATACATATTTTTTTAAATGCCTCACTCACAGCTACAAATCTTTATTATCCATGCAAACATATTCTTTAGTGTGTTTTGTTGCATCCGCAACATTTCCAATTCCGATTTTTATACTCTCTACTTCTTTTTTATTTAGAGATAAGTCAGTTCGATTTGTTTTGGAAATTGTAAAAATATGCACAGCTCAAACAAAATATATATCTGGACCATTCCATTAAAAATGAAAATTAAAAAACAATTAAAATAACGTCACAATAGTGATATAACATTGCAAGCGAAAACAATGATCAAATAAAAGTAAAGTCCTCACTAACAAAAAATTAAGCGGCTATTTAGAATAAAAGGTAAGTTAACAATTTAGTCCCTTAGTTTCCCCGATGGCAAGGTACATACAGACAAACTTTTCAGATAGCGCTCAGTCTTTTTATTATACATAATACAAATTGCAATTGCAATACAAAACAAAGCCCAGAAATTTCTCAAATCAGATCGAAAAAAACTTTGCTGTTGCTTTAAATTCAAATCAATGCACCCAAATCGTTAGGATTTTACAAGCTACATTCTGGTGTACACCAGAAGTCTCCATATTGCAGAAAAAGTTCATGCCTATTTATTTTCTAGTTAAAATTCATAAATTGTAAAACTTCAAGTGCAGCAGAAGAGAGTTCTTAGTGATTATAATTGAAAAGAGAAGCCCGTGATTTTGTATTTTTAAATCGTTGGGTTGCAAAGTCACTTACAGGCTCCTCATTTATTTCTTATGCCACACTGGATTAAGATAAGAATAATTCTGTAGAATGTTTTCAGGGTATATAGTTGTGTATGCATTCAAGTTGGTTTACACATATATTTTGTACACATATATATTGCAGAACTCATTCAAAAATAAATACGAAATACCTTTCGTATTGCCACATTGCGACAAGAAAAACTGTCTGGGTAAACTATTTTGTTGTTTCCTTTTGTATTATGAACAAATAAATATATTTTTATTTTCTTGGCCGATCGCCCACTCAGCAAGACGTCATAATTCATATGCTTTTGCTGAGCACTTTTTATGATTTTAATGTGGCTTTAATTTGTTATATTTGCTAGCCATGACAAGAAGTACAATTTAAAATGTAAAGAAATTGAAAAAGAGCGATTGCAATTTTTCTGCCATTTAGCATAAATTTGAGGAAATTTCCCTGCACGCCTGTGCCCTTGTGTGTAGTTATATAAATATATTTATGCATGTGTGTGAATACCATTTATTATCATTAAACGTAATTTGCCTTAAACGCAAGTCAATGTAAATGACAAATAGAGGCGGATAGAGACAACAACATAAAGTACAAACTGTGTTGTACTATATTACAATGCGACAACACCACACCACACCACATCATGTCACCTCACATCATTCCTCCTTCCATTTAGTCATGCAACCTCCCACTGATCTTTCCAGCTAGTCGCTAGCATTTCGCATTTAATTTGCAAAACAACAAACACACTCAATTGTCACTAATAGTGGGCGTGTTGGAGGGGGTGGAGGGCCGTTAAGAGGCCACTCGCGACTGTTCTTTTTATTAATTTCATTTAAAGTCACGCTCTATGCGCCTTTTTATTTAACAAACATCACACACGCAATTCAAGACCAAAAAAAAAAAACATACTATATGTGGAAGAGCCCCCGGAATAGGGTGGTGCGGAGAGGCATGACAAATGGGGGGTGAAGAATGTGAGGCAGGCTGGCTGCCAATTTGTGGAACACTCACGTGCCTAACGATCAATCAGCATTGATCAAACATTAATAGCATAATGGAAGTTTTCTATTTATTATTGATTTTAAATTGCGCTTGATTTCCATTTCTCTCTCACCACTTGTCTCGCATTGGATAAAGAGCCAGTGACTTTGAGAAGTTTGAAATTAATCTTCAATTCATCAGATTGGATGGCGTTGCTTTGCAACAGACCTTAATTATCACTAGCCCCTATATATCATAATATCCATTACTGTACATATGTATGTGTGTATGTACTATATGTATATACATTGTGGTCCAATTGATTGTCATTTCTGTATTCTGCTCAAGACTTATTTTATACGCTTCCACATATAGCTCTCCTCCATCTTTTTAGAAGATTTCAATTGGTTTGTTTGCAAGCTTTGGTTAATTGATGCAACAGCTGAAGCTTTGCGATGTAGGTTGAGTGCGGTTCAAACGACTTGACTCAAATCGATTAAAAATCGTTAGAAATGTTCGCTCATTAAAATGGTCGATTAATAGTACATACTAAATTACATACAAGTACATATGTCGCTACAACCAATAAAATGCTCAGCAAGATCCAATATTTTATAGTTATTGAACGAAAGTATTTAAGAACTCCAAAGTATTTTGAAGAACATAAATATACGATTAGATCCGAGCTGCAAATAAGCATTCTGGTAATGGAACGATATTAACACTTAAATAACCGAACATACTATACAAGTATATAGAAACTCAAAACATTTCGTTTAAGAATCTTATGTAACAGTCCAAAGAAGAAGAGGCTGATCATTGATATGTATGACGGTATGAGGAGATCGATATAGACTCTTGAGCTCTAACAGCTAGGAATGATAATTATAAAAGTTTTTTCTAATTTTATTGTAAGCCAAAGACCAAATCTTGCCAAACTTATTGTTTACTTATAAATTTGGTATTCTTTGGATTTTTTGTATAATATACGAAAGTATTAACAAAATAGTTTTATATTCCGATTTCTTAAAAAAAAAAACCATCACAAATGATAAAATAGATTTCTGTAGCGTTAGCAATATATTTTAAGATGTTTTATAGAAAAAGTAATTCGTAGCAATACCAAATGAATTTGCGCAATGAATGAGACAAGAAATTTTCCCATTTATTCTTGGAGATATAAGGGTGCTTACATACATACGTACAAAAAATGTAGTCAGCACCTCCGAGGAATATTTTACAAAATGTGTTGTACGTGCTTTTTGGCTCATACACCGACCTCGAGAATATATCGGAACGGGCGTACCAATTGTTGAGCTTTCAAAATCAATGCAATGAATTGAACGTTCCGGAGAGTGAAACGCGCAAACGACTGGAAAATATCAATCAAAAAAGCAACTAAGGTACTGATAAATGCTACAACACCTTAACAAGTTGGTGTATATATATATACTCGCACATATACACGTGCATATATCTATTTACATTAGAGTGCATGTTTGTCGGTTCCTTATAGTGCCGTCAGGGGCTCGGCTGTTATGTGAGGCACAACGATGCACCGCCCAACGTCATCGCTAAACCCAACCACGACACGAGCAAAGATACAAAATGTATATGTAAACATATATATTGTATGTCTATAAATAGTCTAGCTATCATATACAATTTTTCAAACAAAGCTTGTAGCATGTGTCAGCCTTTTTTGCAATTCATATTTAATTAACCCAACGGCGCGTGGGAAAGTTGACACAGCATTGACGTCGAGCCACAAACCCTGAACGAAAATTGATAATGAGTCCGATAATGATACGCTAAGTGACCAACTATCTAAGAGAAGCTACAAATTGTTATTGCCCCCGACATTAATAACTGGCAGTTAATGAATACAAGGTAGCCCCATAAATAATACAAACTAATCTCAGATGCCAGCCGACGTTCTAAGTCAAAGATAAAACCTGCAGCAACGCCAACTGATAAGCTCATACATACATATAGAATGAAATAGTATAGTAATGTCGGTGTCGAAAAGTCACGCGAATGGCGAAAGACACCGAGCGGACAGACTCAGAACAAAATTTAAAAGCACATGCAGTTTTCATATAAGAATCGGCCTACCATATTATCTAATACTATGGTAGAAAGGGTATACAAGTTACGTGACAATATGTGTAGGTTCAAATCGGGCGGTTGTCTACCCATATTTGTACGACTTGTATTTTGGAATAGTTATAATAGTAAGTAGTATGTTGTTGTAAAAGCATTCTCCCACCATGTCACCATATTAAGTTTGTTTCAAAAACTTCTTCAAAAGGCGCTAGAATGCTTGAACGAAAACGAAGAGCCTACAAACCTCCGAACTCACATAAAATGTCTGAACGCATTATTTTCGTTCTTTTTGCATCTTCAGATCTATTTAGATTATTAACAAAAACATTATTAACGTTAAAAAATGTTAGTTGTAAGTAACTATGGGTCGAGCGGTCGACGTAAGAGGAATCCCACAATGTGAGTTCGTTCCTAAGTATATGACTCGGTTCGAATCACGGCGCTACAATCGCATAAAGCATGATTCAAAATTTACTTACAGTTTTAAAAATTCCAAGTATATAACATGGGGAGGCTTCTATCAAAAATGTTACTGTTCAAAAAAAGGGTGCATGATTATCGGCTCGCTGCAGATAACATTTATGTATTTATTTTCAAATGGGCCGCAAAAAATTGCACGCAACTTGGGGTCGTAACCGGGATTTGTAAATGGGGTTGTGGGCACTTGATTTGGGGGCCATGCGCTCGCTGCGTCCGTTTTGCCGCAGTTTTCGAGGTGGACATTGAAAATTGGCTTAAACATGACCGTGAAAAAATATTATTTTTCACATTGCGGTAAAAATAACTAGAAAATTCCGAACAATAACAAGAGTACAGCTATTGAGCCAGCCATATAGTGGAGAGGGTGGCACGCCATTTGCTGTCAATATTTTGCCTTTTTGAATTTCCCTGTTTATTGACGTTTGTCAATGCCAAAGAAAACTACGTCTGAATATTCTGTGAGGCAAAATGCATAAATTGTTCAAAGGAAAGCTCGTGAACAGAGACTAAGGAAAAGATAGAGAAGGATTTGAAAGAAGATAGAGAAGGTTGCCGGTCAGGTCGTTACGCAGCCTATCAATGCACAAGATGCGAGAGTGTTAGCAACAAGCAATGCGGAAGCTCCTACAAACACACAAACACACACACTGCAAGTTCCAGTTGCATGCAATTTGCCTGAAAAGGTCAAGGGGTGCGGATGCAGTGCGGCGCAAAATGGCAAATTTAGTGCAATGTAAAATTTAGCAAAAATATGTTTCTAATTGTAATTTAATGGAGATAGCAAATGGGTGGCATTTTGGCTAATGAACTTTTAATGTGCGGGGCACGGCTAAATGAATGCGTGCGGAGAAGGAGTATAGAGGGGAAGGAACACCTGCTATCACACGATTTTATGCTCCGGCGCACAATTACTTTTTTATGACAAACAATTCCAAATTGTGTGTGCCGTGTATTCTGTACATGGCAACCGACCAAATAGCCATGCAAATAAACAAAGTAAACATGTTTTTTGCGCATACCTTGATCCAAGGAATCCGCATTGTCGTCTGACATTGTTCCAGCTGCTGTTTCCGCTCTCCAGTCAATATATTAAATAAATGCGAGTCTTGATTGTCGTTGGGTGCTTTTCCTTCACAATCGCACGCACATACAAATTAAATCAACGGCAGGCGCGCTATTCTGACCGTTTGCTTGTTGGATGTTTTTGCACAATACTTCTGTAAACAGCAACACAAGCAGGCAATGCCAAGCAACCGACTAATTACAACAAAAAGCAGGCTGGGGTATAGTGGTGGCCAAAGTTTGAGCAACGCAGATATCGAATATTTCGATACCTGGCTTGTATTTTCATAATGTTAGCGATCTGGCAATCTTTGAGCGGCAGTGTTGGCCAACGGCGGCACAATTGTGAATTTTCAATCTAAACTGTTTATTAATTGTTTATCATAAGTAAATGTTCTATTCGTCATTCTAAAGTGAAATAAACAATTTACCAAATTATACAGCGAACTCGAGTGGTAGCGCTGCAAGAACCGCGGTCTATCGATATGCGATATAGCGATAGGTCTACTTGCTCGACGAAAAACGCCATTTTGATTGTTGCGATAACGATAGCCCCCAGATCTAACCATTTTCTCGGTGTTGGTGTTGTCTTGTAAATATTACGAGCGAAAAACACGCACTATAGTTAAGAAAAATATTTAAATTGTAGTGAAAAACATTCCCGACGACAGGCCCTGCAATGTTCTGTTGGAAAACGCGCGTGAAAGTGTACGCAAATTGCGCATAATAGCAGCGAAAATATCTCTTACTCAAGCAACCAGGCAGAGCAGCAGCAGCAATAAAAAACGCAAGCCAGCGAAGTCGTGTGTGTGTGTAAGTGTTTGTGGATGTGTGTGTGCGCAAAGTGTATGCAAAAAAGAAGAAGAAAACAGAAAAGCATTAAAAAAGATTGTTGGTAGTCACTGACAAAATTCACGCGCACATGCCAGCCAAAAAAGGCACAAATAAGTGTAAGGAAAACTACAACAAGTGTGCGAAAATGAATTATTATTAAGTGTGTCACTAATTTAATTTGAATCGTCGTCGCCGTCGCAGTCGCAGCGCCTTCGACCGTCGTCTTCTTCGTAATGCGTTGTAGCCTCAGCGCGCTGGTGTAGGCAGTAGCAGCAGAGGTAGCGACCGCGCAGCGTAGAAATCATTAAAATTTGTTAGTGAAAATGCTCATATACATGTACATATGTACATGAGTATGAAAGCGGCTGCCCAGCGATGCTAGCGTTGGCGTCGACTTTGAATTCGACGTCGTCGTCATTTTAGTTAACGTCGCCTGCACTGTTTGTACAAAGCTAACGAAAAAAGAAGCAGGACGTAGGTGGAGGTTGGGGTGGGTTGAAGTGTACTACTTGCTCCTGTCGCTTTATTATGGACATGGGGGTAGAACAATGCGATGGTGATGACGACGACGTGGGCCGGACGTGTGACAAAAGACGGTGACGACTCAAAGGCTCAACAAATTTTCTGAAAAGGAATCACAAAGCGCAGCAGCAACGGCACAGCAACAACAACAACAACAAAGGCTGGCAACCCACCACCGACGCTTTGTGGCCACCCTGTAGACAACTAGCCGCCCGCTTCTCGCTGCCGACGCTGTCGCAGCGGACGGCGCTGCCAGTGTTGCTTTTTCGCTGACGTTGACTGAAAAAAGTGTTTGTGCCCACAATAAGGCGTCTTTTACATTTTACATTGTCTTTTCGTTTTTTTTTTTTCCTTCGTGGTTTTTGTTTATCCGTTTCGCAACGCTGCAACGTTTATGATATGCAGCTGCCTCTCTTGCTTGCCTCAGTTGCTGCTTCTTTAATCACCATTAGCATCATCTTGGCGCTCACCTACGTCATCTCTCTTCGTTTCCAGCTGTGTTTGTGCAAATTAACCAAAAATATACATTTCCGGCTGCCCCCTCGCTGAGAAACGCGACAGCCACAAATCCCAACAACAGAAACAACGAGACCAACATCAGCAACAGAACGACAATAACAACAACAACCAGAGTTCGCGCCTTGTTTCATCAGCAAGTGGGAGCCACCCGGTTTCGAATTCCTTGCTGGAACGCCTTAAGCGCACACCAAACACATTTACTCTTGGATTCATGGTGAGTTTTCTTTGCTTTCCTTGTTGCTTGTTGTCTAGGAACATGCCAACCTACTTATACATACATATGTATTTAATTATTTGTTTGCTTAATTTGATATTGTTGCTGGCTTATGTGTCGCTCCTTTGTGTGGGAGGAAGAGTGAAAGCAGGCCACTTGAAGCAACCAGTGAGAGGGTTCAAGGCAAAATTGCTATGTGCAAGCAGAAGGGTTAATAGTTATGAGCCAAGGGGGTCATTTAGGGTTGAAAGTTGTTGAATGTGCCGGCCCTGACAGCTTTTTGTATTTAGGGCTAACAGTAACAAACCGAATGATATATAATAGCTGACAGTTTTATCATTAACGTGTCCGAAAATGTAATCAATGAAAAAGCTATGACAGCATACTATATGTACGCATATGGGTGCATGTGTGTGTATAAATTATTAAGCTACTCCAACGCTTTGTTTAAATTTATCGCTCTCTGTATCAGCGAGCAGTCATGCTCAAGTTACTAGCCAGCTTTCAGCTGCCAACGCAGACCTAGCTACTAAAACTAATAGAGCTATTAAGTGCGCAGTCATTAACTGAAATCTAAATACCTGCGCTTACACTAAAAAAAAAGAGTGTAACAAATAGGATTTGCTGGATTGTAGTGCTTTTTAAGCTTTCCGACGTCACATCTTTCCCAATATGTACCTCCTTCGCATTTTATGGCTTCGATTAGATCCTTGACTATAGTTGAGTACCCACCATCGTCTACCTTTCTTCGTCTGCACAAAAGATATTCATCGCCTCCTGTTTGTGTGTCTTGGATCAGAAGTGGATGCCCTTTCGCGCATTGTCGAACCCGCGACTCTCGTAGTTTTTATGGCTCTAGATGTGGATGCCTCTTGCAAACGTGATAGCTTTCATCGGCATTTTCAGCAATTCTTTTCGCTCATCTTTCTAGATTTTGTAGTTTTTTTTTTTTACCAATAGATGGTGGGATTTTTTTGTATCAGTGTAGAAGAATTGATGCTATACCTTCCCATTGTAGACTGTTTCATTAACCATTTATCTGCATATGCCTCTGAATCGATTAATAGTTCGTTCGTACAATAATTTTTTTATGGTACGAGAATTGCAGCCACAAATTTATGAAATGTGAAATGTGATGGGAAGTCTTTTCATCAATAGTCATTAATGTCGTAAATGAGAAAAACCCATTAAAGAAATACTGGGCCAGAAAAAACAAAATTAATGGTCATTTGTTTTATAAACATCATAAATATATTTTGATAATTTCTCTTAGAACCAAATCATTAATACTATACCAATACAAATTTGCAAGTTAAAAACGAAAAAAGTATGCTTCATCCGGACGGATTGAAAAAGTACATACATATTTCCGAGAACCCTGTGAACTGTGCAAAATTGAATTTTTGTAACTAATTTTGGGTATCAAAAGCAATAGTACATTTCTGTTTTTAGAAATCTTATCGGATTATAAAAGTTATTTCGCAGCTCTTCGCTTTTTATATATTTTATTTTAGCCACTTTCCATTCAACTCCAAGACAATCTTCGATGTGCAGTGTATCTATTCATTTATTAACCCACCGTCTTTCGTTCTCCTTCTCCACCATTTCCGACTTCCCATTAACAGTTGCTTCCACGTGAGGCAAACTGCTCGATTAGTCAGTGCTTGGGGGAAATTTTAAATGCATTTTACTTACCTTAGCGTAAGAGACGCCCATTTCCATTTGCACGCCGCGCGCTTATCTCTCAACACCCCCACCCTACAACAAAAACCACAACAACATCGAGAGTCGCCTTACCTGCCCGCTCAGTACTTGATTACAGGCATATAAAAATTGAAGTGTTTAATTAATAAATAACGTGTTAATAATGAATAAGAAAAAACTATAATGAAAAGAAAACCCAGGTCTCGCACTATGAACGACGTCAACAATTTTGAAAAGTTTATGCCACAAGCGGAAACGCGCAGACCCCGAAAAATTTGTTGCGAAATGCGCGCCACTTTGGATGCCTCCGTTGACGCCGACACTGCGATTGCTTGCCACTGTTGTTATTGTTGCCTGCTGCTGGGACTTCGGGAAAAATGACGGGAGGAGGCATGGGTGGGATGGGGTTGGTGCTGGCTGATGGCGTTGGCCTTTGATGTCTGTTTCGTGTGCTTTCATATTTTATTATTAGTCATTTGGCTTATTTATAAGGTGCCGTTAAAAGTTTAGGTTTTATTAATCTGTTGGTGTGCTTTTAATTTATAATTGCCGCTTATCTGATTGAAAAGGCGGAACACTTGACTGGAGTGTCGATTTATAGCGAGCGATTAGAAATGCGGTGGTTTGCCTGCCTCTACCCGTTTGTATTCGTAAGTACGATGTAGGGCAGCACTGGTCATTACATAAACGAGCTGTTAAGCACAGCAAATGTAACAACACAAACAGCAACAGCAATAACAGATGCAACAACAACAAAAGAATAGCGCTAAGCCGCTTGCTTTAGCTCAGTCCGGCGCCCAAAGCATAAGCGCAGCTTATGAAGCTGCATACCTAATGAATGTCGGTTAATGTCTATCTGAACAGTCAAGCCTCATTAGGTACAACCAATTTGTTCTAGGTAAATACAAACTTTAAAAACATGATTATTTTAAGAGAAATCATTGTATACAATGATGCATATTTGTGTACCTTAGGTTAAATTATTATTGAAAGATAAAGTAATTTACAAAAACTGAACCCTCTTAAAATATCAGAACGATCCGGCAACATAATATTACTATTTATTTATTAAATAAGCTATATGCATAAATTACAGCAGTACAATACAGTATTAATATTAACTCAAAAAATGTTTCATATTTTTGTTTCGGTCGTACATTCTGGTCAATATTCTTTATATTCCACTGGTATTAAATTCCTGAATTACTGCAGGTATTATTGACGTTGGAAAAAAAACGGTTAGACCCGCAAACAGGAATGTCTATTCGACACTATTATCTTCAGTATAATTTGCAGCTTGTCCACAGAAACTTAAAAACTAGTTTAATGCATATTTACTCTATTATCATTAATTTTTTTATCTAACGAAAAATTGTAAACGCTATAGTCAGATTGACCACTTTTAATGAATTAATTTACTGTATTAAACTACTGCAATGAAGTCAAATTCAATAATATGATTCAATTCCATCTGAATGTCATACAAATTGAGAAACAAGATAAACTGATCTGTTGATATACATACATATATGTCTGTACATATGTAGCTGTAGTAGCCACGCGTTTCAATCGAATTTGAACCGTTCGTGTATATAAAACAATGTCTGCTACTCCATTAAAGATAAGATAATTAGCACACAAAGCGTTTAATAAAAAAAGCATAATGCCACAATATATTGTGCGCATTTGTTAGTTATTAAAAAAACAAGGCAAAATAATTAACCGTATGTTAATCGGTGTAAAATCAATGAACGTACACAGAGAGACACACACACACACACACACAGACGAACATAGACCTCGTTGCAAGCACGCCCCAAAGCAAATTATGTGTGAAAATAATGTAAGAGCGTGTTAAAAAGCCACATAAATCTTTTGCGTTATAATTCGATTATAGACACGACGCCAGTAACAATAACAGCAGCGACAGTGGAAGCGACAACAACAACTATCATTTTACATGCAAAGCGCTCATTTACATGTACAATATATACACACATACATTGTTACTTTACTTTATCACCATAATAGTAGTCACACAAACAAACAATGACGACATTGCCATAAACACTTAAAAAAATACCAACAACAATAATATGAAGAAAAAGCGCACAAGTAGCTCTAAATATGCCGCACATTAGAGACAGACCAGACCCATACAGGCCAACAAAGAAAGGCCAACCGACCCAAAACGGACCAAGTGAGACAATCTGATAGAGAAGAAGAGGAGCAAACCGAACGGGAGGCCGACATAAGTAACACGAAACAATTTCCAAATGAAGCGCGGATAAGCCGCAAAATCCTTAAAATACTCGATAAAATTACATAAAACTAATCGCACAAGCAGCAGCTACACACACACAACACACAACACAAACACAGATAGAGTCTCACATACATACACGCACACGTAGCCGTCTACGTTGAGAATTGGCTGTATGAGTGGCAGTGGCAACGACGATGGCGACGGCGTGCAAAATGATGAAGGTATCTACACCGACAATCTGTTTAACAACTTCATGAGCAAATCCAACAAATCGTATGAAGCGACGACGACGACAACCACGACTACGATGCCATAGCCCAGAGCAGCGGCAAGGCAGCGGGAACGGGAACGGCAGCACAGACGCTTCGTAACGACTGCGACACGAGCGACCGTCGGGGCAACAAACCAAACCAAACAGCTAAGAGGCCAGCCAAGTCAGGCCAAGCCATTCAGTCAGTCAGTCACAGTCAGACGAACTGCAGGTTCAGAGACAGAACGGCTGTCGTATTCACAGTCAAATTTGTTTCTGTTGTTTTTATTGTTGTTGCCGCTGCTGAATGTCGTTGCCATCATCGTTTATTCGTTTTGGCTTTTTGGAACGTTGACTCTGACTCTTCTGCACAGTGGCTCATTAAATCAAAGCGACACAAAAACAATTTGCATAAATAAATAACATCTTGAAGGTTTCTGAAAAATATGTACCAATTTCGAATTTAGTGTGCGATTTCCGTTTACTAAGTACATTAAATTTATTTTGGTAGTACGGAAATGCAACCCCTGGACATATTTTTGTTGTTCATGGTAATGGGAGCGATTGGCTGGGCTCTTCGCAGTGCCGCCTTAAGTTACTTTTGAAATCAAACAAACATTGGGGAATGAGGAAATGGTGTTTGGAAATCACTGTCTTATGTATAGAAGTCGGATTGATCTAAACATTCACTTCCATAATAAATAGAAAATATTCTGTCATCTAAATATTTCTGTCAGTTTTCATCATATATGTATGGCTTATTTTCTTCCTAGTAGTTGA